ACAGTCGATCGGCAGTGTTGGCTCAACATAGTTGATCGAGCTAGTCTTACCAAGTTGAAGACTAACCAGCTCAGTTAACCGAGCCAGAAGGGGGTTCGAGCAATCAGCTCATATATGTAAAATAACTAAAATATCATGTAATTGTCCATTTAAAGCAAGGATAAGAATGTAATAAAACTATATTATATTCTCTCCCCTAGAGTTCATTTTAAGACAAAGGGCTAGTAGACAAGATGTATTACTATTTATTAAAGTGCACTCTTCTCTGTGTCTTTCATTATGTTTCTCTCTTTTTCTCTTTCTCCTTTCTTATGCTCTGTTCCATTGAGATGTGATTCACGAACTGATTCAGATTCAGCACTATCATATTCATTAAGGCTCCATTTGACGCAGCGGTGCGATTGCGGCACCGCACCCCGGTTTTGTTCATTTGAGTAAGCTGCATTTTGGCAGCTTTTTCGAAAAGATGTCATGGAAATCAGTGTTTTACGACCACTCCTGGCTATGTTCATAACTACTTCTAAAGGGAAAAGATAAATTGAAACTAATTCAAACAATTTTCACTTAGGAATGAATGAGATGATTTCTTGCAATGGATTCATATGTTGCAATTGATGTTTGTAAAGAGTCTTGTGGCTAGCAATAACTACACACATCTAATTGTGGCACAAATCCGAGTGTTAATGGTTGAGGCACAAGCAAATAACCTGACATAAGTCGAAATGCTTCTACTCTTCTTGTGCAATCAAAAGATCTAAAGTAACCTTTTAGCTTGAAAATACCTTCTTGAATGAATTAATTGGGCAAGTTATTTATATATTTACTGAAGGAATTATTATCCTTATTTAGAATATCACTAATTGCTATTAATACTAAAGTTATACATTATGCACTGTAATGATCAAAATTAAAATGAAAGATGTTGACATAGGTCGACCCCATTGACCTAATTGGACAACTAACCAAATAAAAGACCATGATTTGATGAAAACCATCACTAGTAATCTCTAATTGATGATTTGAATTATAGTGTCATATATTTAGTGCTCTGAGAGCATTAATGATCATAGGTTAAATTCTTAACCATTAGAATAGCATGAATAATTTAGAGAAGTTTAGCATGTCTAATTTGGGGTTTTCATAATTCAAAAATAAAGTCTAACCATTTTTATATAAATGTTTTTTTTTTTTTTTTGCCTTAACGAACTCCTATATTTTAGGCATGTTAAGGGGTGCAACTCCCAATGTCATATAACATTTTTCAAATCAATTTGAATTATAATTTGTGTGTGTTCATATAATTGGACACTATAAAGTATTACTCATATCAAGATAGGCCTGAGTGAGCGAGCTGACCATCAATGATGACAACAATGTCATGATCCCGCACATTATCTTATGCCACCTTCAATCACATGTGACAGAGAAAGTTAACATATATCAATGTACTCACATGTGATCACGAAGATTTAAGTCTACCAATTTTACCCATGCCAATGTAGCCCTCGATCATCCTATTGACTTAAACAACAACCAAGTTTTTTATACACATTATATTTAACATCAACATAGCGAAATTATACTCGAAACTACTAAATTCAAACTAAGCTCCACTTGTTCAAACTCGACATGATTCAATGAATGATAGGGCCTATTTGATTTTGTTCAACATAATTACAAATCTACCTTGATTTCAACTCTACAAATCTCTTTAAATCTTTTCTTAATAATAATTTTATTTTCACCATAAATTTTAACTATATTTCAAAGGACAATTTCGTAATTGTATAAATAAACTTGAATCTCTATTTTTTAGCAGCCTAATATTCCCCAATCATTTGTGAAGCCAAAAACAAGTCTCTAACAGCATCCCTTATGGCGGCGAGCCTCATCGCGCTCTCCGCGCTACCGCACTCACCTCCCAGTCTCCTTGCTCGGATCCCCGCAGGTACCTTTCCTATCTTCAGCACCACTTTCCTCTCCTCCTTCCAAACCCTAAGATCCCCATCAATGATCAACCGCCATCTTCATCGCCGGCGTTCGCGGCGGGGAGACCAGGCGGTGGTGCGC